ACGGCACCTTCACCAACAACCTCACCAGCTTCAGCGACGGCGACGCGCTCCCCGACTTCGCGGCCGAGCAGGACGTCGACCACACCAAGTGGAACGCCGCCGACTCCTACAAGGGGCCCGAATGGGCCAAGGAGTGGCTCTGGACAAAGTCCTACACCCTCCACGCCTTCCGCCCCCACACCGACGTCTTCGACTCCTTTGGCCTCGAGCACATCTCCCCGCGCTACGTCCTCGAGCGCCGGAGCAACTACGCCCGCGCCGTCTACCCCATGGCGCTGGATATGTACAGGAGGGGCCTCATCAGCGTTCACGATTCGTACACTGGCTTGCCCTAGGCGGAGCCGGGCCCAAGTCTTGCTAGTTGCTTATTTTCTGCCTTTCCACTACAAATCATGGCGCAAAGAAAGGGAGGATGGAGGGGTCAAAATGTTTCTGTTCTTTCTTTCCTTTCCCGCCCCTCCGGCGTTTCTTGTGTATTCTACACTGTAATAACTGGTTTATTCACGAAGTCTCATGACACCTTGAATTAATGTCACATTCAGTCCACCCCTGGTCACAAGCTCCTCCTAACCGAACTGCTCTCTTCACCGTGATATCGCTGCTTAGCCGAGCAAGCCAATTTCCTCGGGGGTCATCGTGGACCCTCTCGTATGGTTTTGCCAAGTCCCCGCCAAGCCAGCGCGCAATTGGCCCGGCGCCCCCCCTCGTATCACCCTTTTCCTCGCAAACGATGGCACAATCCGTCCACCTTGCCACGCGCTAGGGGGGGGGGCGGCTGCTGCTGTATACGAACGAGAACCCCCGGTTCTGGGGATTTGCGAACACCTCGCTTGTCGCACAGGTGGCGCGCAAACAAGTGGGCTGGGAAGGGGGGAACACCGGGCGCACTCGTGTGCGCCGGCGGGCAAGCTGGGGGGATTCGAGACATTTGGCGAGCCTCCCTGTGGAGGAGCTTCGCCCTGGTGAGGGGGGGGAATTTGAAGAATCAAAGGCATGGGCCGGGCCGCGGCTGGCTAAAAGCGGAGAGGGCGCCATGCGTGCCTGTCTATTTGTATGAGGAGTATTGATTCTTCATGCCAGTGGTGAGGGAGTACCCAGGTTTAGTTTCTAGGGACCGGCAAGCCTGCGTCGTCGCCTTGGAATGTAGATGGATGCCTTGCCTTGCCGGCCACCTCCCGGGTTTTGCGAGTCATCAGCAGCAACTTTTATGTCGCACAGCTCCTTTGGTGGGAAGGATTTGTTGGATTCCATTGGGAACCTTTGGGACATCGTAAATGTGTATATAGCCAGGTGTACTCCAGCCGTCGGCAATTGTAGTTCAGAACTAGCTTAAGGTCAACGGCTCTCATAGCCAACTCACATTTACCACATGTGTGGGTACTACTTTTAGGCTTTATTTTAAGATTCTCTGGAATGTCACTGCATGTCAATGCTTGTCAATAAATATAGTGACATCATCGCCCATTCAAGCAGCTCCGTCTTAAGTCATAAGCACTCAACCCCAACTATATGACACAGCAACTCCTCTATATCTCCATCAATTGCCTGTCATACTATTTAAAGACAAGACTGAAAAGTCTCAAGACTATTATCAAGACGCGTACACGATCATACCAGGAATTTGACACTCCTATAGGGTCACTACCGTCCCGGCATCATTACTCGTTCTTGTAATCCTCAAACTGGGCATCAGCCACTGTTTCCAGAAACAGCCCTGGGGGGATCAAGAATATAGCAATCATAAAGGATGGATCCGATGCCTGTTACTAATTTGGAGATTTGTCTACCCATCAGCCAATTTATGCTCGCTCGCGAAGGGTGTTGATCAAGCCAGGCAGGATATATTACAGAGTCTTTGAGCCCATTCTACACGGACACGTGACTCACGACTAAGGCTCGCAAACAATAATTTCCTATAAAAATGGTGGCTCTTCTCCGGACTTCAAGAGGTTTGTGATTGTGGGAAGATCGTATTCTTCCCAGCTAGCCGTCGATTGTTTATTACCGACAGCTTTCCCCGCCTCTTTTTGCTGTCTTGGCCGTCGTGTATTGATTGTTTTTATTGTAAGCAGGCGATGTCTGGGGACCTAGTTCAGCATGAGAGTGGACGGCATTAAACATCGAGAATATTGGCCATGATATTCTTAGCGCCGGTTTGGGGAGCTACCTTCTTCCTTGGAGAACTTTTCGTAACACCGCCCTTGTTTGAAAATCCGGTCTTGGATCTGGCAGCATCCATGCATGGAAACCCGACCATTCTTGGGTTTGGAGCTAGTTTCGGACTTGATAGAAGCCTTCCCATGAGAACTTTCCCAGCAAAGGCTTTGGGTTTGACGGGCCTCTCTGGGTCCTGTCTTCTTCACCTTCCTCCTTTTGTACGGGATGATGCCTTCTCGAGGGTTTCCGCTTTCTTTGGAGGTCGTTGCCCTTTTCGGGGTCGCTTCGATGCTGCCTTTCTTTGGCAAAACGTTGCCGTTGGCAAGACTGTTGCGTTTAGTAGCCTCTTCCTTGACTCTATCCTGACTATTAAATTCATACTGACAGAGGTCTTTTGATTGACTTTCCTCTGGTTTTTAGAGCTCTAATTGATTTTTATTGTGTCATGACTCTCAGCTAAGGCTCAGTGACACATATCTTCTTCAATATATCACTGCTTCCGAATAAGATTGCTCGGATGCAAATTCACAAATGTGAGGGATTTCGTCAACTTCATGCAAACAGAGAAACTAGATGGTCCCATTTCTACAATGAGTGAACCAACGAGAGTGGGTGTGAAACTGAAGACTTAGCATCTGCAGCGTCCTTTGTTTCACAACCTGTGGCTTACAAGGGCACTTCGACGGGAACTTCTAACTGGAGTCTTCGCTGCCTCGAGGTCTCTCTTCGGGACCCAAGTAATGCTATGATTTCTCCATCATCAGGCATATTTTGGGGTTCGGATATAAAGGAGAAAGGGACTGTTCTCGGCTTGTAGCATTATTTACTAAGGAAACCAATACGCCAGGATGAGAGGAGTGGAGGAGAAACGAGGGATACTGTCCTTCTCAAGCTCTTTAAGTGTTATATCATAGTCATGGCGAGATCTCAACCTGACATCGACACCTCCTATGCATGGCTATGCCTTGACTGGTAAATAGTAGACAGGTCATGGACTTAGGCGCATTCTATCAACTTCATGTTTGAGCCTACGTGTTGCCATAATCTCTATCAAAGCTGGCGGGAAGCACCCGCCCAAAACCATGAGGGGATAAAACACTTCTCCGAAATCCTTTTCTACTCTACACTTCCATTCCTATTGTTTTGAGGTTCTCTTGCCATCTGTCTCTGTGAGACCTGCCCTAAGGCCCTTTCCAAATATGATATAAAGACCAGCCTGGCTATTTTGAACCTTTTCAGAAAATAGTATCTGCTAGATCTTGCATTGATAGTATCTCTAATACTACTTTGGGATCTGTGCCATCCGTTAGTGGTCGAGACACCTGGGGATTTCTCGAAATAATGATAAGACGGAGGGAGCGAGAGCTCGCAGATGCCGACGGAGATAAAGTTGGCCAAGAAACTCCCATTTTCTCTTGCTGCTCTGGGTTGTAACATTTTGTTCGTAGTGACGATTAGAAAGCTCATGTAGTAGAAGATCCGTAATAAATATTTAGTTAAAATGCCACCGTGAAAGGTTGTAGCAGCGTTTTCTTCATCGTAAGCATCTGTAACATGAGCTGATCTAGGATGCTTCAGAGGCTCTGCTGCCTTTGTAATAACTAAATAATAGATGAGGGTGTCTTCCTTCTCCTCACATGATTTCACGTGTTTGCCTGTCTAGATTCTAACCATAAGCATAGGTTGTAGAACATGTTCTCAGTCGCACGTATGCGCAGTTGGGAAGTGGTGCACTGACTGGCAATAGCCTCGAGAGATGGATTCTGGCGTACTGTCAATAATCTCTAGCTTCTTTGAGTAGATAGCTCTTCTACATATTATACATTCAGGTATAAACAAGTCGCCAAACACTTCTTAGAAAAAGATAATTCTCCCCCAGTTGTGCTAAGTCCCAAGTCCAGCAAACGTCTGCCACAAAGAAGAAACACTGAAACCCCTCACTTTGAACGGAGAAGTGAAGACTTTCTCTTCTTGCTCTTCTTTTTCTTGCTTCTGAAGACATTGCAGCAAGGCTCTTATCAGAGGACCAGGATCCTCACTTTGGAGACGTCTTCGATGGCGTGGATATGATATGGCTAATTAATGCCACCTTCTAGGATGAATCTACTCAGTGCTCTTATTAGTAGCTCCTGAAGCGCTTCTAACCTAGACTTCTACAAATAGATTTTCTAGTAGTGCTCAACGAGCACTATATCTTTGGAAGCACGCGAAAGCTCTCTGAGCCAGCTATAGGGTAGCCATGCTTTTACAGACCTACCACATAATCTACATTACCAAGACAAGTTACATCGTATATTGAGGAAATCATTATTTATATAATTTTTTGATGGTCTGTGACTTTTTTATGTGCTACAACAGTTGGTCAATGTTGCAAGAAAAAAGGTGCAGCGAGTTAAAGTGAGGCCTTGCCAGACCAATGAGCTTGATTTTTTTGATGGAAGATATTCACCTTACCCTATATTTTCAATTTTCCGCATGTGTCACAAGCCATTGGCTACGACCAGAATTAAATCACTTGGAGCGGGGTGCTACAATTTGTTCCATTGACGCATGCGTTCGCACTCTGAATTTTGATAACTGGAGCCGTGGCCCAGTGTGGTGGCTAAAATAAAAGACAACAGCCCTCCCAAGATTATCCAGATGATCCGTTGTGGTGTTCCAACAAAAAAAAATACAGTAGTAAATCCCCCACTTAAGGTAATGAGGCGGGTAAAAGAGAAAAGGACAGACTCTGAGTCGGTGTAAAATCATGTATAAGCCCATCTCACAAACTCCGGGAAACGCCAGACCGATAAAGGATTCCTATCCCATGACCCAAGCAATAAAAAAATCAAACAATGCCATCAGTATCTCAGGTCCCTGCGTGTAGGAACTGGTGGTGGAGCTGGTTTCTTGGCCCGGTTAACGGGTGGAGGAGGAGGGGGCGCCTTTTTGACGCCTGATGCACTGATAGTACGGTTGAGGCTGCCGTAAGAAGTCGCTGGCGTCAATGTTCGTTCAGGATAGTCTGGGCTGCCGCTTCCGCTGGAGGCCGAGCGGTCATCAAAGATATCATCTGTACGGTTACCGTATGCCAGGCCGTCTGTTCGCACGCGGCTGAGAGGGAGAGGGGGTGGAGCGCCGCCCGATCGCTGTGTAGCTCGTCCCTCTGTGATAGATCGGCCCATTGAAGGCCGTGGTGGCTGGGGAGGGGGAGGAGCAGCACGAGTGCCGGGGGAGACGTTTCGCATACGAGCGGACAGCGGCTCAGGTTCTTGTGCGGGTTCTTCATCCTGCCATGAGCGGGCAGTGCTGGCGCGACGAACAGCAGGAGGGCATCGAGTGGGACGGGAGCGAGGAGGGGACATTCTGTACTGGGCGGGTTCGCTGTTGCCAGCCACCAGGTTCTGGCGGGCTCGGCGCAGCTCTTCGGCGCAGCGCTCGTAGTAATCTAGCTCGGCATCGAGGTAGTCGGTGATGGCAGCGACGTTATCGGCTTCGGCCTCCTTGATGTCGACCATGCGCTGGTATACGTCTTCGGTAGACTCTTCGAATTTGGCCTTGTTTGTTCGGACCTCTTCTTCGACACGGAAATCATCACGGCGGGCCTTTTGCATCTTGGCAGTGCTGGCGTCGTAGGCGAGGCGTCGATTCTCGAGCTTCTTGCGAGCAGTCTATTTATCGTTGTTAGCATCTAGAAATATCTCCTGTGACCAAAGAAGCTTCAGAAGCCGACGTACTTGATACTCCTTCATCATCGTATTGTTTCGCTCCAGGTTCTCACCCCAGGTGGCATTGGCTTGTTCGACAAAACCCTCCTGGAGGACTGCGATGCGCTCATGGGCCTGTCCAAGAGCGACGAGCGAGGTACCGAGCTGAGAGTCGGCCTCGAACTCCTCGCCATGGGCAGCCATGATGCGACCATGGTATCCCACTGGAGCGGCCCGCTCTCTGTCCTCAAGGGCGTCGCAGCGACGGCTCATCCATCGAAGGTAGGCGTTGGTCGACTTCTGAAGGCGCTCGGTTCCTGTGATGGGAAGGTCAGTTTGCGAAATACTATACTCACGGGGAGGAAAGACAAACCTTGCTGGCGGAGATTCATTTCCCCCTCGAGCATTCTGAACTCGTCCGTCTGGCCAGACTTGGCCTCGCCGCCCATCTTCTCCCCGGCCCATTGGAAGGCGCGATCGAATTTCTTGGTGATATGCATGGTAGATAGTGTGGATAGGGTCGTAAGTAGGTATCGAGAGGGTATATTAGGAGCAATTGAGTACGGTGTGGATGCTTGTGCAACGATGAACTTTTCTGTAGAACGGTGCTGCCAGCAGCAAGGACTTGTCGTATGAAGCGAGGAAACAGAGACACAGATGCAGCAAATGTGAGTGAAAGGCAATGAACACAACACAGATGCGAAGGAGAGGAAATAAAGAGGAGAGGACCAGAGACCAGACAAGGGGGTGGACAAAGGTTTAAGAACAAGGAGAGATGTATAACAGCCGATCCTTGGGAAGGAGGCACGTCGAGGTGGAACAAAACAAGCAAGTCGCCGTCAGTGCGAGAAGGGCCCTAGTGAACCTTGCCTGCCATTGGCGCTACCCCTAGGCCCTAGGTACCTTTTAGCCTTCTCACTTTCCCCGCTGTTTAGTAACAACTGGTGGTGGTAACATTGGTGAGATTGGTGGAGAGCGAACAGCACCTCCCAAAGGGGGTATTGGATGGAGGGCTGGCGGGAGGGGGAAGGGGGAAGCCACCAGGAGGCGGTTTAGCGCTCGCACCGGGCTGTTGAGGCGACTGGACAGGGGCTGCTGGAATGGTTGCAGTCAGTGCTTTGTTTTGCGCGTACCTGATCTTGATTAATTAATCGCTGCAGCCGTTGCGTAGGTGGCCGCTGCTAGCTGCTGGCCGATTGGCAATATTTCCTCTGATCATCCGCGATCATCATGGTGCATTGATTGAGGTACCTATCTCATCTCGTACTGGCTGCTGCATCCAGGAGACCGCGGACTACGGACTACGGACACAATGCATCTCTGCCGACGGCGAGGCGAGGCGACAGACCTGGGTGCCGTTTCTAGGGGTCTAGACGCGGAGAAGGAGCTCCCATCTCCATGTTCGCTTGATGGCTGGCACTAGATGCACACATGGTGGGTGCATATCCAACTCCACCTGCGATGCATCCCTGGAGCTAAACAGGACGCATTGCATTTCGCCTGCAATTGAGCCGCCGCCCACTGGTGCCAATCAGCAGCAAAGGTTCCGCTCCAATTGGACAGGACGGGCCCAGATATGCATACACTTGTCAGGACGGGGAGGGTGGCTGCTCCTTTGCTCCACGGGAAAGGCAAAAAACGCATGCATCGCCTGGGCTGGCCTGATCTGTCCTGGAGGGAGGGGGTTGGGGCCAGCCAGATAGCAAAAAGGCTCATGTCGAGCTTTCCCACGCCATGAGCGCTTGTTGGGGAGTGGATTCGCCGTGGACTGATTGGGAGTGATGCGCTCCCGTGTCGACACATGTTTCTCAAATTACTGGCGTTTGCTGGCTCGATAGATCATCTTGCACAGCCTTCCTCAGTCCCTGCCGCCTACGTGTGTTTCCGCGTACCCTTATTCGTATTAGGTAGACGGCCTTTGCAACTGACTGCCGCACCGTGCCCTGCGGGATCTTCAGCCCCTGAGTTTCGAGCCTGACGATCCAATTTTCTGGGGTTCCATCCAGGTTCCAGATTTTCCCTGTCCAGTGGGTGGCCTCTGGGCTAGCCAGTGGGTTTTCTCGTGAACTTTGGCCCCCTTGCTGGGCGCTACAAATGCTAAGCAATGCGCTAGCGAGGACCTATCGTAAATCCCACAGTAGCGGCGGGCGCTGGGCGTGGTGACCTTACTCGATCATGAAGCACTGTCTGTCCTACCCTGTTCCCTCAACTGAGACTGGTCTGGTGTGAACGCTCCAAGTTGTTCCTGTGTTCGGAACCGGGGTCCTTCGCCTCCTCAATGCGTCAAAGCGAATCGCCTTGTCCGACAGCGGGTGGTGGGGGACGACCGCCAGATGTTCCAGAACCGGCCGGCGAGAGCCAATCTCTGCACCGTCAGCGGCAGATCCCAAACTGCCTGCGCGTCAAAGAGCAGCGCTTACCGCAGCTCTGAGCGGCTATCTTTCTTTTTTGTTTGCTGATGTTCATTGCGGTAAAAATAAATATAGCAAGCACCAAGAGGCTAGCTGTCGCCTCGTCTCAACTGTGGCTTGCTCAACCGCCATGTCAGGCACTAATTTGTAAGGGCGTTGTGTTGTGACAGCAGATCAGACATATGCTTGCTGTTCGTGCATGGGCTGCTACTGGCTACGGAACGGCAATGCCGCCTACGGCTAGAATCATTTGTGACAGGTACTTTTATTCTCGAATGAACGTGATTCACTATTGATTGATTGAGAATGAATCCACGTAAGCTTGCTGTCTCTTTTTCCTCTTGTGGTTTGCTTCATCTATATCCACAGCAGAGCAATAACGGCATTTGTTAGTAATAGATGAACACGCAACACTTGGTCCATAGTGTCGCCGTGACATTGTCCCTCTAATCAATAATGGATCGCATAGTTGCTCCACCCTGCGTGCTCGCTCGCTGCTATTCAATCAAGCTTTTCTGTTTTGCATCACCCTGAAACGAAACACGCCTGGGCCCGTTTCCCACACAGGCTGGGATGGGTGGCCGGTACCTCAAACAGCTTGGTGGCACCAGGGGGCCTGAGTACTGGGCCGACTTTCACACTCGGCAGGATGAGCTTGAGCGCGTGCGTCCGATGATGGATTCCATCACGTCGGTGAATGCCATGAACGGGGAAAAGATGGGCGTACTAACTGCACAAATAGCTCATGGTGGCCAACATTATGTTGGGGCAGCCAAGGGTTGTGCCGTCTTCAGTCGATTGTGGTGGATGGCGATATCAGCGCACGTGACGATAAGACCGGCGATAGCGATACGGATACGGAGGACTTGCTTAATGGAGGTAGTGTCGATGCGCACCCCAATCACATACTACGAGGTGGGCAGGGATGAGATGCACAGAATGCTTGTCTTGGATAAATGAGAATCACAACAGGCTCGCGATACCACCACAGAGCGCCCGACAATCTGAGCTAATTTCCTGCTGGTGCTCACACCATCCGGATCGATAGCCAGATGCAGTGCGGGCAGACCGCCAAGCGAGGCTCGATGGACGGAAGCATTGGACCCTGAATCCGAAATGCAACCCTCCCAACCTCTCCCCCCTCAGGCTAAGGCCCTCTTCCCCAAATTCTCCTTCCCAAAGAATCTAGATACCCTGGACCCATAGGCACGACGGATGCACGATGGGCATGCCCGCCGCTACCCCTCCCTCGCTACCAGCAGCCCTCACCAACCGTCTGGATGGATCGAGGAGAATTGGCCCTTTAGTAGGGACATTTCCCACAGTACCCACACTCCTTATCACACGCAGTGAGATCCTTGTCGTCCTCAACGTCTGACCAATCGTACTCATACGGGCTGTCGTATTCGTGATGTTCAGAGGCGAGGTAGTGGTCGTCATCGTCGCTGCTGGCAGTCTTCCCATGTTTCTCCCAGTCGCTCCCACCGACCGTCCGTGGACTGGCACGGCTGCCTCCCGATGGCTCATCAGTCTCGCCGAGCCAATCCTTCCACTTCTGCTTGACCTCATCCGAGAGCGGGTCGCCAGCATCTGCCAGCTTCTCACGCAACTCCAAGGTATCGGATCCGTCGCAAACCAGCTCGAACTCGGATGCAGACCGCTCCTTTGATGTGGCCTTGTCAATGACCCAATGTAGGCATCTCATGAACCGCTTGAGACCCTCTTGGTTCTCATTCTCCCAGTCGTCGATGCGCTTTCGGGTGTCCAATTCCTGGATGTCGGTGAACACCCCGCGGTTGTGGAACGCAAGGATGAACTTCTCGATCTGTCGGACCCAGAGGCGAGGTATTTCCTCCCCAAGAGTGTCTCGCCCTGCAGCCGACATTCTGGATCGGGTCTTGAGGTCAAAGATTGTCTCCTGGGCGACTTCCTCTCCACCGTCTTCTACTTGGAGCTCGTCATCTTTGCGACGGTAGGCTTTATCGCCGGACCCGACGTGGAAATCATCGAAGAGTTCCCACAGGTCGCCACCAGTCTCCTTTGCTTTGGCCATGACCCTCCGGGTATCAGAGATGTATCCATCTCCTTCGTAGCGGATCAAGGTTGGGAGACCGCCCAGTTGGTATCGCATGACCCTTTGATGCGACTTGGATTGCTTGACCTCAGGCTCCCAGGTTGTGTACGCGTTTGGGAAGGAATGCCCGTAGCCCTTGATATCGTCGATTGTCTCGGTGGACGAGTTCAGTCTTCGGACCAGATGGACCGTCGAGCCCACAGTCTGCACGAGCATGCGGAATGGACGGTCGGACTTCATCGCGAACCGCAGGAGATGACCCAGAGTGCTTCCACAGGCGACCAGCTCGGGCTTCTCCAAGCAGGTCGGCTCCATCTTCATAATGGCCGTGACTTCTGGGTTCAACGCATGCTTCGACGCATACGCTGCATTTGGGTCGACGTAGTATGTTTCTGTGTCGCCGTTGTCTTGGGTGAGCGGCTTCGGGGCATCGAGAGGGGTCCATAGGGCTGGTTTGCCTAGGAGAGGAGATCTGTTAGTATTGGAGTAACTGATCTAAGTGTACAGCGTTCACTAACCTGGAACCATGATGGTTGGACGGTCTTGGCCAACCCAGTTGTATGAAGCAATCACTGCGACGTGATCGATCCCAATGGGCCCATCAGGTAGGGACGCGATTGCGTCAGATGACAGTTGATCCCAATTAACTTTCCCAAGCAGCTCTCCCTTTGGGGGAGAAGGCAAGGATGATACATGTGGCCTGGGCCAAGCGCCGACCTGAGAGCGCGAGCCACGGGTTGGGCGACGGCTGCCACTAACGTATCCACGACGGTAGCTCATTCTCACGGGAAGAGTAACAAAGAGCCTTATTGGAGGTGGGATAAATATCGTACTATCGACGTTTGAAGAGATTATTCAGTGAAGGCACTCTAGATTGGTGATGCTCACGGCATTCGAGGGACCAGAGAGGAGGGATATGGAGGCCGATTAAATGGGCGGCAAGTTGGCCTGGCTCGTCGCTCAATCTACCTCGTCGGATGCCTCGTCTGCCTTACTTCTCCTCCCATCAGATGCC